CCCAAAAGATTGTAATATGTGGTAGCAGAAAATTTACCTTACTTCAACATTGTACATTCTCGTTTAACAAAACGTGGAAAAATTGGAATTGAAAGCAAATATAAATTAGCAAGTAATTTCTGCTTTTCATCTTTTTTTCTTTCTTTTTCTTTCTATTTTTATCTTATTCATACTGTTTCCTAGATACAGAAAAATTATAAATGTTTAAACATGAATGTCTTTTTAAAGGTTTTGACAGTATGCCAGAAATTTTGATAGTTGCCAAAGAAAGTCTTTCAAAATTACTATATACTTTAAGAATGCATTTTAAAAAATACTTTTATACAACTTTTATTATGACAACATAAGTATGTTTAAGTGGTAGTGAAACTGCATTAAGTAAGTTTATTTATAGGTTTCGTATCTGCAAAATTTGTTTTTTAAAGATATAAGCTTTCTCATTTAGAATAAAATATGTTGCAGGATATAATCTTGAGTCCGTCACTGGGACCAAAGTTTGTTCTTCCAAGCTTTGTGCTATGAAACTCATCATCAAGGAACTTCTTTTTCTGCAGAATATGGTCTCTCTTCTGGAGAGAAAGAAGTTCCCTGATGATGGGTTTCAGCATGAGCCTCAAAGTTTGAAACAAACCTTTGGTCTTGGTGACCAACTCATATCAGATCCTGCAGCATTATTCTTGGGACACCTATGTTTGCCTTCATTCGCAATAAAATATGTGTTCATACAATACAACTAGGACAATCCAAGCAGATCTGACAGAGATCCCAGTTTCCAGTATTTTTTTGTTCAGCAGAGTATTATAGTGCCTTAGCACATTTGAACAGGAACAAGAGTGGAGGAGGAACAGGCAAAGATCATCAGGACAATAATGCGTAATAGAAAATAAAGCAAAGGGCAAGGGGTGGATACTAGACAAATAATTCAACATCACTGAAATCCTTTTCTGCTAGATGGAAGAAACTAATAATATATTTTCTGTTTGGTGTTAATGGAGACAACCAGTTTTCATGACACATTTTGTCAAACAGCTTGTAAATCTCTCACTCACACACTGTTTATTTTTTAATAATTAAATAGAATTTCAGAAGATTAGTATCATTGCCCAAATGATATAGAAGTTGTTTCACATAATCTGAAGTAAAAATAATGGTATGAAATTTTAAAACACACTTGAACTTTTTAAATTATAAATCAGATGTCAATTCTAACTTTGGGGAATTCTACTTATTCATTCATTTGATTTGTATGGCTGCCCAATGCATATAATGAATGAATTTTAAAATGATAAAAAAACTTACCAAAACCAAACAGAATTGATTGGCATCTAGGAATACCTATTAATATACTATACCACCCCTTAGAGATAAACTCAACACTCTGGCTTAATACCTTTAGAAACAGCCAGGCCTTCAGTACTTTGTAAAAGGCCAATAGGGTCAGGCCTATTCAGGGGAGGTGCTGCAACAAAAATGCACATTTCCTGGTCATATCACATAGTAAGGCTTGATAGACAGGACCTGCCAACTCTGTCTGACTGGATGGGACAAGCAGAACTAATGGGAGATGGGTGGCTCCACAAGTAACTCAGCTATTAATCATGCACAAACACTTTCTCTATTTTAAATGACATCACACTGGTCGATACTTGCCTGAATGCTGTGCTGTCCTCTTTTACAAATGACAAATTACAAATGATTTAAAAGATATCTTAGCCAAATCCATCCTTGTGTTAAAGGTGAGAACCAGCTGGCTATATTGCATGCTGAGGCTTGGAGACATTGAAATTTCAAGTTGACAGGCATCAAGGACTTCTGTTCTTAGGGTCAAAGGTTTACCATACAGCCTATTGC